AGCGATGGCCTCCAACCTAATAGCGATGGCCTCAACCGAATAGCGATGGCCTCCAACCTAATAGCGATTCTCCATGCTGCTTGGAAACTCAGTCACCAGCGCTGACTCTCATCATCGAGATCTGCAATCTCGAGATCCGGATCAGCCTTGACAACTAGTTGTTCGATGTATTCAAGTGCTGCCGCCACGTCACAAGTTGGATGGGCAGGTCTTGTCAGAAGTCTGGAAGCGCATTGTTTCAGAGTGTCACAGGGCAAAAAGTGCGCAATGCTGAATGAAATTGCCCTGCCTCTACGTTGTCTAGCCTCAAAGACACTTCCGACATGACACGCGCCGCAAAAGCTCATCAGTTCTCACATCACCACATCGCTGTTCACGCGATACAGTAGAAGATCGTGAAGGATGAACTCTATCAAAATACTTTACATGCAATGCCCCCCCAAAAAAAGAATATAACAAAAAAACAACAATATCAATATGTGTGCGGTCGGGTTGGTTCTGCTGCTTAACAGTTTTTGGCCGGCGCTGCAGGCGGACAAGTCAGCCAGAAAGAGAAACGTAAAGGCAAAGGATTGAAAGGCAGAGGTCGGCAGCGCGAGGCGGAGAGCAGCCCAAACACGGCACAGACACTCAAGCTATACCAGCATAGACCCCAAACAGCTTCAAAGCGATTCGTTTGGACCAATATTAGTTTGAAAAAACGATTTCTTGGTACGCCCTACCTTCACCCCAAGAGCAAACTGCTTCATCAATGAGTTTTTGTCGGCATTGACATCGCTATTTGTTCGGCCACACTCCTCTCCAGCAAACCGGGCCACAGAGACCAGCCACAGAGTTCAGGGGCGCGGCCAAGACAAGGACAAGAGGACAAGAGGAGGACACAGAGCCGGGCCACAGAGCCCAGCCACAGAGTTCAGGGGCGCGGCCAGTGAGTGTGGCCAGCTCTTTTTTTCTAAGATGGAACCCCAACAGTAAACTGTTTGGGGAAAAATCTCAAAATGGGGAAAGACTGCAGCACACCAAAAGGCAAACCTTCCCCCCACTACAAGCTCGGCATCAAGCCCTAGGAAAAGGAAAACTTTTCTGGTCAAGTATATACCTATAGTTTCGTCATGCGGCCCATGCAAAACTTGGGCCCTTGCGGTCTGGCCTGGCGCGGGGACGCCCACTCCACATCGATGTCCGAACACTGAGGTCAAACCAGCTCTACATGCCCACCCGCCGCACAAAAAGCTGGTTTCTCCAAACGTTGCCAACTTGACCCTCTGTCAACTTGACGGTGAAACTTGCTGAACCAACAATTCAGCAAACAAGGTATGAACGCACGAATCACTGTGATGCGGACTGACCAGCTTCACCCGGACCCGTAGGTTCATCAGCACCTTCCAAGACCATCTGTCCACCCTCTCCAGCCTCTCCGGCCTCTGCTTCTCCAGAGCCTGTGGCCTCATCGGCTGTCATGGTGGTCAGCCGCATTGATTCGGCCAATGGACTCAGATTCCCTTCCAAGACGTCGGTGGAGCGCTTTCGAACGGAGTGTGGTCCTCTCTCTGGGATGGCATGGGATCCCAGCCTGGAGATGGTGGGCGTACTGGGTGCAGAATTCCCGCGCGACGCGGTTGGCGAATGTGCTGCCCTCTGTTCCAGGAATGTGTCATTGTGAAGATTGTCTTCATCCAACCATGGGGTCCGCCAGGGCATCAAGCTTTTCCGTGTCAACACACCGATAGGCCTGTGTCCGCTGTCCACCACCACCACATGTCGCAACCCACATCGGGCAAAAAGCATGTGAGCTTGAACCACAGGTGTCGAGCCTTGAACGACAAATGGAGCTGAATCCATGACATCCTCAAGGCCTGCTGGTACTGCGAAATGCTGACTGAAAGGCTCTCGACTCAAAGAGCGCTCACTTCGAGCAGCACGAGACACAGCTGGACTGTTCGGCACCACATCCACTCGGCCACTCCCATGGCTATTGGTTGTAACCAACAAACCCAGCAAGGCTTCCCGGGTGACAAGGCCACAAAGCTGCCCTCCAGGATCATTGGGAGAGGGAGGCTCAACCACGGGAAAGCCATGAACTAGGGTGCGTTCATCTCCTGGCAAACGCTTCTCAAGGGCTTCAACAATCTCCGCCTCTGTGGCTCTTCGAGACAAAGAAATCACTTCTGGAAACTCGCGGTCAAATTGACCCTCCAAGTCAGGGGAGAAAGGTTGGTTCATTCGCTGCGTTCTGGCATCCTGGTGCAGCAGGTCTTGGACTACGTAGTGCGACTGGCGCCAGTGTGGAGTTTCTGACAAAAACGGCAAGGATTGAACATTCATGAGCTCGTGGTACAGGCCGTGAGCTTTCATCAGAGAAGTAACCGTTCTGGCCGAGAGAACGGAGATCAAGATCACGGGGATCAGAAAGGGATCGAGAGTAACCTCCAGAAGAAGCACCAGCACAAACATCACCAGTGAGCCACTACCACTGAGGAAGGCCGCACAGCCCGCAAAGGCTAGGATCCCAGGTTCCATCGGTAAGGGCTCAGTTCTTGGATACAGCGCCTGCAACAAAGGCTTCAACTCCGGAATCCATGGGATGCCACAACTTGGAGGTGCTCCTCCCAAGACTGCATGCCAAAAGAGTCCATATAAGCGACCCACCGCCGCGCCGATGCACATCATGGGCACCAGCAAACCTCCAGGCATCCAGGCAGTCGAGCTGCAGGCAGCCAAGATGAAATATCCCAAAGCGAAGGCACCAACCGTCGTGTAGGGCAAAACCCCTGGGGCACCGCGCACCAGGAGGTTTTGAACCACCGCAGTGGGGGGCACCAAGGTCAAAGCAGCCGCTGGACTATAGTGACCCATGTGGCTTTTCTCCTTGTCATCCCAGGTGAGTGCTGGGCAAGGACCCGTGGGCCAATTTTCTCCCATCTCCATCGGAGTCTTTGGCTCTGACAAGTTGTGGAACTTTCCTTGCTTGAGAGATGTGATGTCGTCAAACCGGCAGCAAAAGTCGGTGGCGGAAACATTGATCTCTTTGGTTATGTAGTTCTCGATGCCCTTCACTCGGCAGTCTTTTTGCCTGGGTTGCGCTTGGACCTCTTATATACAGGGAATTTGAATTGGGGAAATGTCTGCAAAAGCTCAAACAAAAGGGGTTGCCAAAAAACAATAGTTCAGGGGAGGTGCAGCGATATTGCAACAGGGCATTGCAGCGGATCATACTGAGCTGCAAAAAGCCCGTACCGTGGCTGGTAGCTCATGGTGAAACCAGCCTTGTGCTTCGGACTGTCATCTTGAAACTCCTCTGGTAGAAGGCTAGTAGGCACATAGCGAGCACCAGATACCAGCTGCTCCAACCATTCCTCCATGATGCAGCCACTGCTTCCGTGAAAAGCATTCTGAAGGCTTGAATCTAAGCATGGCTGGGCTTGAGGGAGGCAAACTGCGAAGGCACCACAACAGCTGCCAACAAGGATGGAGAAGCCAAACCGGCGGAGGAACAAGGACGGCCCCCTCCCTAGCTGTTGTGCCTCCTGAGCAAAGTAACTGCCGAGTGCCACAACGACTCTGTTGAAGAAAATAGCGAGCAAGCCGCACAACACGCCAACCACTGCAACATGGAAGGACATCCAAGGGCTATCCATCCAAGACTGTATCACCCCAACGCAAGCTGCAGTGCGCGTGTAGATGGTCTCACGTTCTAGGCCGACGAGGTCAGAGACGACATTGCATGTAAGAACTGCGAAGGTGCAGCTGATGAAGGAATGTAAGAGAAGTTTCTTGGAGAAAAACGATGCGGCCTCTTCCACCACAAAGACCGTGCCCGCCAAGGGCGCATTGAATGCTGCTGCGATGCCAGCACCTGCACCCATCACCGCCGCCTGAATGTGATACCGCAAAGGCTGTCGCGAGAGCTCTGCTTCCAAATTTTGCGAAAAGGGCCCAAGCCGCTTCAGTGCCGGTGCCAAGCAGCGGCGGCAAACCAACATCCCCACAATGGCACCGATGTGGACCATGGGCCCTTCAGGGCCTAGAGCCAAGCCTCCTCCGACAGACAGAATCGTGCCAAAGACCTTGGCTACTAAGACCTGGCCTCTAAGGGCGACGTGTAGGTCACATCCGTTGAGGAAGGCCAAAACACCTGGGATGCCGGAGCCACTGCTGGTGGGCACCAGGACCACTGCCACGGTACTCAGCACTGCGAACCCTGCTGTCATCCCCATTGCAAGCAAGACAACTCCGCCAAACTCCAAGTCCCAGTGCTCTTTGCCTCACTTCTTACCCCATCCCACCCCTCCAAGTCCCTGTGTGAAGCCCGAAACAAATACCACTGATCTCTTGACATTCCACTAGGTGGCTCCCTAGTAGATCATGCAAAATGATCAATACAATATACGCAACATCCAACCGAGTTGCCAGCCAAAAGGTTCTTGAAGGTCTCCCGGCGCCAATTGCCCAGCTTGTCAGAGCCGAGACGAACCACGACAGCTGCAAGGCCCACGCTGACACCCACTAGGACATTCAAGAACTGTCGCACTCGTGTGGCCAACTTTTCCTCCTTCCGGCCCGTGTCGTGGCATTTGGCTCTCTTGTCCGCAAGCTCTCTTTCTTTCTGGTCAAAGGGGGCATGTAGCTGCAAAGAGTCCATCCTGCGAAAGATTTCATAGCTTAAAGGTCCGTGTCGATGATGACGAGTCTTTCGAGATTGCTCCACTCGAGGGCTCCTAGACATTGCTGCGGAGACGCAAGTTCCTACTTGGATGCTCTGTTGTAGCTTGACGTGGTTCGCTTTTGCTTGAGGCATGGTGCATATAGCAACTATATGCCATGACTCGCACTTGCAAGCTCATGTAAAGCCATAAAGAAGGGCTAGCCAGCGGCAAACCAGAATTCATGCTGAACGCAATTGAGACTTATCCTCCCTTCTCCGGCTTTCAATCACAACCTGGTCTGGCATGCACTTTCTTTCCTGTGATGCCCATTCTTCTCACCTGACTACATGGCATTCAGTGAGGGTTTTTGCCGACCTGCTCCAGGAACTCCGTGACTTCTCGTCGCTTAGTCACCTCAAAGCTCACTTGCAAACAACAGAAAGGACAAGGCGGTCAGAGTACAGATTCTGTACCACTAGTAGCTAGAAGCTACTAGTAACAAGGGCATAACTACCACTACTACTACTACTACTAGTAGCCAGGAGGTCAGCGCTTTGAGGAAAAGGCCCTTCGTTCAAGCGCCTGCACATGGCCCTCCTGGCGCATGTGACTGACGAATAGGAGCTGAAATGGTGCCTTAAACTCGTCTCACAAGTCCAAAAATCACGCCCCTCATGCCAGACATCTAACCTACACCCCCTGAAGCATGATGCTAAAAATGTTTTCGAAAAACTAAAAAACATGTGTATGTAATATATACTATATATATACTCAAAATATATATATACTATATATATATAATCCCCGTAAAAATTACATAGTTATATACGTGTCCCCCCCATTTTATAGCACTTAACCTGCAGGGTTAGGGGTTTCGGGGGGTAGAGTTACACTATAAAATGTCATTTTTCAGCAGCGCGCATACACACTGAAAACTATAAAATCAATACAACAATGGAACAAACCTGACATCCTTAGCTCACAGGACAGCCAAATGAAGTCACTATAGAATGGGGTGCACAGGTCCATAAAAGGCTTGTACAGCCACAACAGATGTATAAAAACTGTGCCAGAGTTACTCTACCCTGGTATTTTATAGTATTTGTTTGCTTGAACAGCCACGACAAAGAAATCGGAAAGACACCAAATGGATCAACAAAAATGCGTTTACACATATACCACTCTACAGTATATGTTAAATCTTCTCTCGAAGTGGCCACTTATTTCTGTATAAAATCAATATGAGTATAAAATCAATGTCATATTTTTGCACTAGCTCACTTTGCTGTATAATTATCAGTTTTAAAGTTGTCCATTTGGACCCCTATAAAGTTGTAAAATCTGAGGCTATAACATCAAAACAACATGTTTCATTATAAAGTCAATTTCTCTTCTAGAAGTTTGTGAGAAGCAGTTTCTTTTGGAAAACGCAGTTCACTATAAAATCGTGATCTCAATTTTGACCAGCCAGTGATCCTCCTCTTATGCAGTTTTAGTGATCATGATTTTATAGTTCAACCCTGGGGAAGATGTTTAACTATAAACCTGCAGCAAGCCCCTTTGATTTTGTAGTGGAAAATCTGACGGGGATCATATATATATATATATGTGTGTGTGTTTATTTATTTATGAATGCCGCTGTGTTCAAGGTTGATGAACGCCCCCATGCCTGGTCGCATCCCTTGAGGACCTGCATGGCTGCAGCACCTGAGCAAGCAAAGGCTTGGGAGAACGCAAGCTGCTCTGTTCGGCCAGTTGCCTGTCAATCCAACTTGTGAACACCCAGCGTGGTAAACAAAAGACCAATTTTTGTTCCGCAGGTTCCGGCAGAATGGATGCAGAAGTGAAGGCTAAAGGCAAAGGAACCAGCACTTCTTCGGGCGAACTTCGGCCCGCATCTTGGCCCTGATCCTATAAGAGTTGCCATTCATCCGCTGCGTCATCACCCTCACCCCCGGGCTCTGTCCTCAACTCGGTGATGGGTTTCGACACCTTAAAATCAGGGCGGGTCGCAAACCAGGTGGTGGCTGAGATGAAGCTGCATTCCTGGGTCGCCTTGGGGTCGAAGTCCGGCTGGAAGCTGCACTCATAGAGGAAGCCATTATAATGCAAAATGTAGAGTCGTGGCTCGGTCTTGTGAAAAGCAAGGATGGGGCCAGCAATGGTCGCTTGCTTGCTACGGGTGTCCACCGCTGGAGTCCCACCATCCATGTCCGGGAGCCGGAACTGCCCAAAGCTGCGTAGGTCGGCCAGGTACTGTGGAGTGAGGCCTCGAACAGCTTCAGCAGCCTTCGACTGCAAGGTCTGCAAAGCTGTCAAAGGGCTGGGCCATTGGGGGTCTGGAGCAGGCTCCAAGGCTGGCGAGGAGGCCAGTGAGTTCTCCTTGTCAGTCTTCTCATCCACCTCCGTGGCTGTGGCGTTGTCCAGCTTGAAGATGTGCACCGTGACGGAAGAAGACCTGAGATGTTTCCTTTTTGTCAATGGATTTGTTCATGGAGAACTTTTAATACTGTTGGTTTTGAAGAGTGTACCATGTTTGTTGGGGCGTTTGTATTTGTTCAATGTTTACTGTATTTCAACTGCGGCATGGTGCATGGGCCATGAAGCTACGCTGCGCCGAGCCACGCCACGGCCAAATAGCAGTCATCGGGCCGGAAGGCCAAGCTTGAGATCGACGCCGGCCGCGTGCTCCGGCGCAACCTGTACAGCGCCTCGCCGTCCGCGGTACGAAAGACCTTCATCACCTCAGTGGTTTGCTGTCAAGATTGTCATCTTTTGCGCAGTGGACAAGAGCAGCTAAGCTGTGCAACAGTGCTCAAGCCTCGGCCTCAACGTGTCGTTCACATCCTGAGGCCTCGGCTGTGCCCGTCTCTGATGCAGTGGCCACCAGGGAGCCCGAAGCATTCAGGGCCAGCGCTGCAAGCCCTGACTGGTGTGCCTGGCCCACGATGGCTGGACCAGACCAGGGGATATGAAGTGCATGATGTCATAATCATTGGATCAAATCTTCCAAGTAGTAACTACGGCATGTATTCTGGATGGCCTCCAAGCGGGCTCACAACCTATTAAATGCCAGTTGGTGCAACACGCTCACTGATTGCTTCCTTCCTACCTGTTCATTCACGTGGCTACCCTAGCCAGCGATAAAATTCCAGCGAGTCCAACCAGTGACTTCATGATCCCACCATTGCCCGCAACTGTTTATATATAATTACCTGAGCTATGCAGACAAATAAGTTGCCTTTCTCGCGGCGACTCAGTCCCCTCACCAGCCATCCACACCGATGAACTTCCTTCATTGCTAGCATGGGGTGGAAATTCAACCTCGGTCACCTGCCCGTGGTCCTGGCGCCTGAAAAACATGGGTAGCTTGCGCATCTTGTCCAACTTGGATGCGAATCGCCCCCTTGTTCCTTGGCAGGTTAGGGGTGAAATCACGGCTGGTGTGACTCATGCGCCAGTTGTGTTTGCGGGCTGTTACCAGCACAGGGCAAGTGATAGAGACAAGCATCTGGGCTGGGCAGCACAAGAGCCAGGGATCACTGCCTGTGGCCAGGGCACATAGGCCCAACTTGTTGGAGCCGGTGTCCAGATGAAGGATTACCTCTCAGCTTGCAAACCCTATGACAAAGTCAAAGGAGAAAACTTGCACACTCAGCAGGGCTAAAGATCTGACAATTGCCTGCATTAGTGCAACGAGGAAAGTGACAGACTGTTCTGATCGGGGGGAGCTGTATTTATGCTCAACCAATCCTTCACATCGCCCGAAGTGTAGACGTAGATGACATACTCGCAAACCATCACAATGATGTCCTGGACCACGGGAAGAAGCAATGAAATCTGCACGAAACATATAGAATTGAACTTCTCAATAGTCCTAGACAATCGGATGAAAACAGTGCCGACTGAACCGAGACACCCTATGCAAGCACACGCCTTTGACCTCATTGCGACAGCGGAGTTCTGCCACCACCTTCTGCTTGCGTTCCTCCCAGATTTGAACCTGACAGATCCGAGCCAAGGCTAAGAGTTCTTCGAATTCCATCTTAACCAATTGTTTCCTGTGTGTTTGTTTAGCCCACCCTTACTTATATAATCAAGCAGACTGGCGAACGGGCTCAGGATAGCTCACACTTCTTCAAGGAAGCTCCCCTGGCCGCCCCAACAGTCGCTTTGGATGTGTGCCGGCCTTGTTCCTGCAGCCCTGTGAGGGCTCCCCTGAGGGCTCAAAGGTCTGATTCACCATGGCAAAGATACCTTGGCTGGACTTCGAGTCTTTTCTGTTGGCTGAGCCTTCGTCAGTCCAGCCAACCCTGCAACATCTGCTTGGTGTCAAGTTCCCGCCAAGAATGACATTGGACACTATGTAATGTAATCCTGATCCTCAAGCATGAAAACAAATCCACTGAATTTAATCTGCACGAATCTCCCCTAATATATATATATATAGATGAATGTCAAAAAGAACTTCGAAGGTGAAAATCGTGGAAATACTGCTCTTGTAGAGAGATACTGCTCTTGTAGAGCATGGCCACGTGCATCACCGAGCTCTTGGGGCAAGGCTCCCGCCTCAGGCGCTCAGCGATGCCCGAGCCCTCCTTGGAGTCCTGGAGGGTGAAGACCCTGAAGCCCGCCGTGGTGCCACACACGAAGCAGGAGAAGTCCTCCAAAACAAAACATAACTTTGTCTTGTTCAATCATGTGTTGATTCTATTTGACCACCTACGCAATCTTTCAGAATCCAAGTTGCTTCCAGCACCACAAGGAGCTCAAGGTAACACGCCCCCATACAGCCGTATGTTTGGGACACGTTTTGTTAAATAACCATGTGGTTCTGCTACTTTAGAAACAAATCATGTGAGGCCAAGGACGACGAAACCTTGTTTCCACAAGTGTGCATGATCTTCGAAAGTGTGTGTGTGTGTGTGTGCCCCTTGTTTGTAGTCACAGGAATTCAGTTGAACTGTTTCTTCAGCAGGGGGCCAGGACTCCCTGGCGCGCGTCCTGGCCAACGAAGACCGCGCGCCAGGGAGGTGAAAACGTACCTGCTATTGTTAAACTGTTGATTGGTTGCTGTGGTCCCTTGGTTTGTTTCATGGTGGTTCATGTACCTGATGTTGTTCCAGGAGGTGTTTAGGTTTTCAGGTACTTCATAAAGGGCTAATGCACGTTTCGCCGTCATCCTGTCGCTCGTCCGTTTTTCGTTTTGAGCTCTGGAGATCTTTAACTTACCTGAACCTGGAGATGAGTCACAGTCCTGCACGCACGTCGTCAACCTGTTGCGTGGTCGTCGATGCTATTGGCTTCGTCTACCTGTACCCTTAGGAAATGGTAACCTAGGCCGGCGTGTGGCACCGCTGTCAAGCCAGTATGCATTTCCATAAGTGTGTTTGGCCTCGTGCCAACCCGGGATGAGCCCGTAGAGTGCCTCCCGTGGACCCGTCGAACGGGGGTTTGTCGTTATCTCCCCTGCCCGGAGATGTAAGTGTCCGGAGCGGACAGCAGATGGCTTATGCCACAAGAAGTGGGATGTTTGTCTCATTTTTGGAATTCCAAGCTGGCTCATGCCTTTACGTGACCGCAGCGGTCAGAGGTGGCCGCCCTCGGGCATGCCGTACGTGGTCGCAGCGACCGAAGTTTGTTCAAGGTTTATTGGAACCTGTCGCGAGCTTAGTCCCCCCTCCTTCCCCTTCCCTCCCCCTTTCTTTCCTTGCTTTTTGGTGTTTTCCTGAATGGAAGACTCAGGATCGCCCCTTTCTTTCTTTGGTGTGTCCCTGGACGATTGTTCGTAGCTGGGAACACCTGCCTTTTCCCTTTCTCTCCTCTCCCTTTCTCTCCCTCTCTCTTTCTTTCTTTCTCTCTTTCCTCTCCACCTTCCTTCCTCCTTGGGTGTCCCTGGATGCTTTGTCATAGCTGGGAACCCTTCTCCGCTCCTTGTTTGGTGTGTCCTTGGGCGCATGCGTCGTAGCTGGGAACACCTTCCTTTCTTCCCTTTCCTTTTTCTCGTCTCTCCCTACCCCTTTTTTTTTCTGTCAGGACCTTAGCTTGGGTTGCTACTAGGGGCTCCTGGCCTTCCTACTATAGGTGCTAGGACGCTACTTTGACGCTACTAGAGGTTCCTGGCCTTGCTACTACTTTGTCGATACGCCTCCCGTCGGGAGGCGTGTGTTTGTGTGTGTGCGTGCGTGTGTGTGTGTGTAACCCTTGGAATCATAGGGATCCTTTTGGATTTTTCAAGTTTGTTTTTCAGGTTTGTCTTTCTGTTGTGCTTCACAGCAGGGGGGCTGGTTGTTCATGCAAGTACCAGCCCAACGAAGAGGCTTGCATTGAACACTGATATCGGTGGGGGCGCTCACCGACGTACCTGCATTTTCCTTTTCCGGATGGCATGAGGCTAAGCCCAGAACCTCACTCGGCAGACAAGTACGACCGTCGTCACCCTTTCGCTTCGTCGTCGCCTTGAGACTTTGGCCTCTTTTCCTTTTAAGACCTCCAGGTTTCGATGGTCCTTACTGGTACTCTTAGGAATTGGAACCCTAGGCCGGCGTGTGGCACCGCTTTCAGTTCAGTACACCCTATCCTACGTGTGTTTGGCCTCGCGCCAACCCGGGATGAGCCCGCAGAGTGCCTCCCGTGGACCCGTTGAACGGGGGTACGTCGTTATCTCCCCTGCCCGGAGATGTACGTGTCCGCAGCGGACAGTAGCTGGCTCACGCCACAAGAACTTAAATTTTGTCTCATCTTTGGAATTCCAAGCTGGCTCATGCCTTTACGTGACCGTAGCGGTCAGAGGTGGCAGCCCACGGGCAAGCCGTACGTGGTCGCAGCGACCGAAGTTTGTTCAAGGTTCATTGGAACCTGTCGTAAACTTAGGCGCACACACAGCACGCACATGTTCAACCAGGCTTGCCTAGGTTCTTTAATGAGGTTTGGGTTCATCGGTTTCCGTCCCGTCGATGCTATTGGTTTGGTCTACCTGTACCCTTAGGAAATGGTAACCTAGGCCGGCGTGTGGCACCGCTGTCAAGTCAGTAATTACGCATTTCCATAAGTGTGTGTGCGTGTGGTATCATCTTCCAAGCAGATCCAACCAGACGCGATTACACCCGCCCACCCCCACCCACCCCACCCCACCCATCTTCCAAAGCGTCTGTGGGTGTGGCATCATCTTCCAAGCATATCCAACACACTACCACCGACAAAAATTCCGAAACGCAAGGAAATTCCGGTCCAAGCGCGCAAAAAGGACCTGTGACATAACAAAATGTTGCCATTTAAAAAACAAAGGTGCCAACTTTCACGCATATTGCAACGACATCGGACAAACTCGTCATGGTTTGATAAAAAAGTGCACGACTACTAGTGTCGTCAACCCGCTAGGAGTGAAATGCTCACCATTTTTCCCCCAGTGCCCCTGCGGAAATCAGAAACCAGCGCAAATACCACACGAAATTGGAAGCAATTGCTCAAAAACGATAAAAGCGTACTACGGTGACGGGGCGTGACACCAGAAGCAAAAATCGTTTCGTGTTGAAAACACGGATGTTGACATGGGGGGCGTCTTAGATACCCTTGACTGTCGATACCTCCAGGAATATTAAAAAATATTCCTATATACTTCCAGTTCTCCAAAATTAAATATTCCACTAGGTAGTTTAGTTAGTGGAATAATTATGGTATGTATCCAGTATACAGTATCCTATACCTAGGGCTGTAAATATTCCCCAAAAAATATTCCAACAAACATATTCCATCAACTCACGGTACTACTTGGAATATTTATTTAAAATACCCCCCACATGTTGACACATCATAACTACCGAGGGAGCTAATCGTGTCAACATACTTATGAGCAAGCGTCGAATTTCAAAGCACCTTCCCTTCCGGTAGTCCTGGTTGAAGGAGTAAGTCAGCAGGTACACGTTTTCCCTTGAGGCCATGTCAGTCTCATAGCCTGCCTTCGGCGCTGCCGCTTCCGCCATGGCCGCCATGGATCTATGTACAGGGAGAAGCTGCAAAGGGTCTGACCCGGAGATCTACGTGCAGGATGCCAATGGACGTAAACTATGCGACATGTGCCGTTGATCTTATAGCGGAACAGACTTGCCTGCCAATCTTCAAGGTCTTTCTGAGTGGCTCAAGCTCTCTATCGGATCTTCCTCGAAGCTTTGTGCCATAAGACTGAACTTTGCTGCTTCTTGAGCCCGCAAATTACATCAAACATGAATCAATGCCACACAACCCCCAGTGTATTGCATGGAAAATGCACAGACAGACTGAGCTCTCATTGGTTTGCACGTGTTCAGTTTCTCACAGGTTCTTCGGGCCGTAACAAAACCCGTCAACTTCAAGCCGCCCCACGTGTGTGCCATCGCGTTTGTGAGTCAAGGAGCGGCAGAACAGCCTGGCAGTGTTCAAGAAACGAGCGAAACGTGCACTTCGAACGTTCAACCAAACGTCAGAACAAACAAGGACAGGTTCTTACTCACCAGAGGAAATTTAGAAGAAGTTCCGTGTTACGAACATTTACATCACTCATCATACACCACTCATCAAACACCGCTCAATATACCCCAGTCATCATACACCACTCATCAAACCACTCATCATACATCACTCATCATACACCACTCATCATACACCACTCATCAATCACCACTCATCATACTACACCACTCATCATACACCACTCATCATACACTACACCACTCATCACGCATCACTCATCATACACCACTCATCAAACACCACTCATCACACACCACTCGTCATACATCACTCATCATACACCACTCACCATACAACACTCATCATACACCGCTCATCATACACCACTCATCATACACCGCTCATCATACACCACTCATCAGACACCACTCATCATACACCACTCATCATCCAGTTAGCTCTAGTTTCAAGAGTTCTAGCTCCAGTTAGCTCTACTTTCAAGAGCTCTAGCTCCAGTTAGTTCTTGTTTCAAGAGCTCTAGCCCCAGGTAGCTCTAGTTTCAATAGCTCTAACTCTAGTTAGCTCTAGTTTCAATAGCTCTAGCTCCAGTTAGCTCTAGTTTCAATAGCTCTAGCTCGAGTTAGCTCTAGTTTCAATAGCTCTAGCTCCAGTTAGCTCCAGTTTCAACAGCTCTAGCTCCAGTTTACGTGGCAGGCACAGCACTTTGTGAACCTCCATGTGCAGATTTCGTGGCAAGCGCAGCACTTTGTGAACCTCCACGCGCAGATTGCAGGCAAAGCACTTGTGAACCTCCATGCTTCTCCGAACCGCGGAACGACGGTTGCGAGACGGTCTCGGATCATCCTCGGATCATGCTCGGAATCGTCCCTCCATTGCGATTAGAGTTTTCACTTGTTTCTTGAAGCGCAGATTTCGTGGCAGGCACAGCATTTTGTGAACCTCCATGCGCAGATTTCGTGGCAGGCGCAGCACTTTGTGAACCTCCATGCGCAGGTTTCGTGGCAGGCACAGCATTTTGTGAACCTCCATGCGCAGATTTCGTGGCCAGCGACGCACTTTGTGAACCTCCATGTGCAGATTTCGTGGCAGGCGCAGCACTTTGTGAACCTCCATGTGCAGATTTCGTGGCAGGCGCAGCACTTTGTCAACCTCCAAGTGCAGATTGCGTGGCAGGCGCAGTACTTTGTGAACCTCCATGCGCAGATTTCGTGGCAGGCACAGCACTTTGTGAACTTTCTAGTACAACTTTAGTGCGCGGAGTAATCTGGCGAGGTGGAGGCTGAGAACTGGCGACTTTGTAGTACAACTGTAGTACGCGGAGGAACCTGGGGAGCTGGAAGCTGAGAACCGGCGACTTTGTAGTACAACTTTAGTTAGTGCGCGGAGCAATCTGTGGAGCTGGAGCTGTAGTACAACTCCATAACTCCAGTACGCGGAGTATCTGGGGAGCTGGAAGATGAGAACTGGCGACTTTCTAGTACAACTCTAGTGCGCGGAGTAGCTGGGGAGCTGGAAGATGAGAACTGGCGACTTTGTAGCACAACTTTAGTACGCGGAGCAAGCCGTGGAGCTGGAAGATGAGAACTGGCGACATTTCTAGTACAACTTTAGTACGCGGAGCAAGCCGTGGAGCTGGAAGCTGAGAACTAGCGACTTTGTAGTACAACTTTACTACGCGGCTGAGTCATCTCTATTCTGTTTTTTGCAAAATGCATGAACATTTTTTTCCCTGCGAGACAGTTGACGGTGGTTGCTTCGCTTTCGCTCCATTGGTCGGGTCCAACTTGTTTTGTCAAAGAACATCGCAGCTCGGCGAATCAACCTGCCACATGCCCATTTCCTATAGGTTTATTCTTTTGGAAACTTCCGCCGCCGGCTTGCCCGGGAACTACTTGAAGCCTCCACGCACTCCAAAGCAGCTGCTGAGCTCACCTGCACGACTTGTCAGCGCAACAGGCCATCAAACAGCCTCTCACGTGCCTTGCTGTGGGCCACCAGCTCTTCTATGGCGGCTCGACGGTGCCGCCAGTCAGCATCTGGTCAGGCATCGAACAAACTGGCCTTGTGGAGTGCCCCGACCACGCGCCTTGCAGTCCACGCACCCAATCAGCCAGACGGTCTTCCTGACCGAGCGCCGCCTCTTCCGAAGAGCCAGGCGTCGTCATACAGAAGGAGCAGGCTGGACATCGTGAAAGCGCTGGCAGAGCAGCAAAAATCAAATGAAGGCAGTTTGCCCGCACCCTCTCGTGGTCAGCTAAGGCCGCTTATATCTTATAAGGACGCTATGTCTAGGTCTTGGATTCTTTGTGCTACACTTTCATTATGGCAGCTGCGCATCCGACGTGAATGACAAACAGTAGGGATTGAAGCTGAAGACTTGAGGAAGAATCGTTGATTTGACACGCAATCTTGAATCCCAATCAATGAGCTGACTCAGCGGCAGCAGCACAATGCCCACACGTGTCCGAAAATGCCATCCCAGTGCCGTCAAACTCCTGATCCACAGGTCACACACTGCAACTTTTGTCCTTGCAATCTGCGAATGCTATTTCGCATCAATGGCATGCGCTTTGGCGCATGTTTTCAGCGAAAAGGTGCTTTTCATGCGGAGCTGTCTGTCGCCCATGCATGACATCCAGCTTTCCCGATCTGCAGCTGCCACCTTGTGGCATGTTCATTGCGCGAGTTGCCAGGGGCAACTCTCCCCAAAGCGGCTCCAAACGCGAAAATCGCCGCCCTTGCCTTCGCAAGGTTCGAGTAACTCATCTGAGCAACTCCCAGAATTAACATAGGAGGCATGGACATTTGCAGACTGATTCTGTACACTACACACTGTGCAGCGCTGCCAAAGGCTTAGCTGTTGAATTCTGTTCAACTCCATGGTCCGCTGTGATTGAACATGTTACAGTGTTGAGCCTTGTGCAGAGCTGCAAGACTGCTGTGGACAAAGTCTCTCAGCAATGAAGATCTTAAAAGAATTTGAAGTGAAAACGCCAAACAGGGGGCCTATCCAAAGTCCTAAGGGCGCTAAGCAGCGTCCCAACTCAAGCACCAGCGACAGAGTCCTTGGCGCCAAAGGCTTCCACCACTTCCTCGTTTGTTTTTCTTCCCCCCGAGGTTCGGCCTCTGGAGCTGGCTCATCCGCCTCCGGCCACGACAAAGTATAAGTACCCTTGAAGTGAGCAAGGAGCATATCACTCATATCACCCTTATCCATTTGTGGCATCTCAAGAACCCAAGAACATCTTTCTGGCAAACTGTTGGGTCTACTCTTCAATGCCATTTTTTTAATAGTATCTGGCCACCAGCGCTCCGGAACTCCTTGGAAGAAAAGGAACGGTTCTGTCTTCTGACAGCTTTGGGCCTTCTTCTCAGGCAGGCGGCTCCCACAGCCCACACAGAGCGCAGCCATAAGATGAAACCTTCACAAAATCTGTTTGAATCTGTCCAAATGTCTTCTACTCGACAATGTGGGAAGTACAGTAAATGGAGACGCTTTGCTTGGGAATCCCACCTCGTATGTCTTCGAATCTACTATCCATGCTAGTCTAGAGAAAGTTGCAACACCACCGCACAGGAATACTAAGTTTTCAGGTAGGTTCAAGGTACACTACAGGCGTTTAAAGGGATTCCCTTGTTGAAGAAATTGTCCAGCTGAGCATCCGGCACAGTGCCTGCATAAAGTGGAGACCCCAAGGGCAAATGCCTGAGGTGCTTCGAGTGTCACAAGCAACGAATAAAGGGACACTAAACTGATATTGATTGGCCAAGATTGGGAAATGTTTACCATTGTTTGCCTGTGCATTCTGGAAGTGTAGCCTCATCCCATCCTTCCACCTGAGGCCTTGGAATTGGCCCAAGTCACCCGTCGAGGGCCAAAGCTAGGAGCCGGGAGCCAATCAGCGCCCCTCAGGTCAGGATTTCTGCAGTCAAGGACCCTCACGAGGCGCTGGACCCTGAGGCGCTGGCCCACGACATTGGCAGCAGTTGACAGGGCTGAGGCGCTCCCAGACCAGAGACCCTGTTGTGTTGCTGGCACGTGCCTGGTGCAAAGGCCTGAGGATAAAGCTTGGGATCGATGCTTCAAGTGTACGGACACCTCGCGAGCATCCAATGCCCATGCTGTCGAGGTGCTTGTGAGGATGGGGGCTGCACAAAAGGTGGGCGAGCTGACAGCCTGAGAGCAAAGCACCCCTCCCACCAAAATCTTCCCGACATGTTCCATCCACAAAAATCTGCAATCATAGGCTTCTGTTGGTCACTCCAGGCAACATAAAAAGTATGAAAAGCAACCTCCCTGCTCCACAGTGATTCACTCGAAAAGGAAAATGCCTATGTATGTACTCTCAGGTCTGGACTAGAACTGCATAGGCCCAACATCCACGAGGTGCCCAGGCATAGCCGACAAACTTGATGGCGTGCAGCACGATTGCTCCTCATTGAGGAACAAGGGGCAGATCTACTGATGGATAACGGGCATCCTGTCGTCTTGTTAAGGCCAGAATGCCAAGCCCCTTGTCAAGTAGCCTTGTCAAGCCATGCCGAATCGAAGCGCCCATCCCCCCAATTATATACGTTGAAGGTGGAGAAACTGGTGGAATATTGTAAGGAACCGCGATCTCTCTCCTTGTACCACCCAGGATTCTCGCCCTTTTGCCACACGCAGCAGCACGGGCAGGAAAATAACCTAGAAGAACATCAAGGAATCAGCTGAAGTCATGAAAACCCCGTACCAAAAGTCGGGGTTGTCCAAGCAATTTTGCATGCTTGGAAGAAGCCTGTGAGATCATAAGAGCCGCCCCAACTGCCGAGAGGAAATGGCCAACATCCTGCCCGTTCCATCCAAAGGCCTCACGGTGGCAATGGTCGACAGTCATGTGAGATGCAAACACCACATAACAGCAAGATCAAACTCACAGACTGGCCTCCTTCAGCCACAGGACATTCACGGTGCCATACACCGCCATCCCCAGACTGAAGAGTCCTGCCAAAAACAAGCGCGCATGGTCGGGGCTCAATGCATGCCACAGGCTGGCTTTCTCTCCGGACAGGCCACCCGAAGGCCGGAGGGCAACCTGGGCGGTCCTGAGGCCGCCGCGTACCAGCGCAAGGAAGGAGTTTGCACTAAGAGTTGCAACGCTGCCAGTGCAGGTGTCGACTTGGAGGTCTGGGAGCGGCGGGAAGGTGGCAGGTATTCCTCAGGCGGTCTTTTCAGTAGATACTTGGCAAGCACCATAGTGTTCTCGTGCGCTTTGCAGTTTCCCTCCAACTCCAGTTCACTAACATGGAAGTGGAAAGTGGAAGCCACATGACTGTGATAGGACTGCTTCCCTCTACCAAGAAGTGGTTTCCAACTTCCATGTTAGTGAGTCGGAGGGTATCATAGTCTCACACCAAACACCCACGGTTTTTCTTCATGAAGTGATGAAGGAGAACCCGCAAATCCCTGATGCAGCAACCACCGCTCCGCAGCATCCTAGTCAAGGCGCCGGCACGAAGCTAATCAATGCCAGCACTGCCACAAAGGCCAGCACAGCCGCGCATGCAAAGGGTGAGCGGCCACCCCAGTGCTCAAGCAAGAGGCCTCCGCAAAAGGCGCCCAACACCAAGGCAGCGCCCACAACCTCAGGGTTGCGAGTTCTTGAAGCTCCCAGCGAGAAAACATCGCAAAACTGATTCCAACAGACCATATACGGGGCGTGGTAAGAATCCGGGACAAAGATTGGTTTGACTGATGACTGACGTTCCTAGAGGCCCAACGTGATCCAGACTTGGTGGCTCTGCTGTTGGGAGGGTTGTGGCTTCGCTCATATCGGTGATGGGTCCGCGGGAAAGCTACTAGGCGCTCCTGGCCTTAGTAGCAGGGACGCTACTAGGGGCTCCTGGCGGTACTGCTAGGAGCAAGGACGCTACTAGGGGCTCCTGGCCGTACTGCTAGGAGCAAGGACGCTACTAGGGGCTCCTGGCCTTACTACTAGGAGCAAGGACGCTACTAGGGGCTCCTGGCCTTACTACTAGGAGCAAGGACGCTACTAGGGGCTCCTGGCCTTACTACTAGGAGCAAGGACGCTACCAGATTCTTCTCTTCCAAGGATCCGTCAAGAAGCGGCCCACGGCGACCGCACGTCTTGGACCCGCAGGGGTGGCATCCTGACGTCGTTGGGTGTTCTGCATCGGCTTCCCGTGAGGTCGGCGGGTCGGCGACTCCGGCAAGCAAAAATCCATGGGTTCTCAGCTCCGTGCAGCGATGCAGCTGGTCTCAATGGCGCCATTGGATGCCAAAAATCCTGCTGTGACATGAACAAGTCCCATCATCAGCAGCCCAGGTGAGACCTGGCGGGGTGCTTCATGAGTTCGAGGCATTGGACCGAATGCGGTCCATTAGCAGAACCCTTTTCGTAGAACGAAATCCAACGCCGGCACCCTGCCAGAAAATAGAGCCTGTCAAAACTGGTGTGTGAATTGCCTTTTGACGTATGCTAATAATAAACGCCGAACGCTTTTCTTGGGCACCAGTACTTGCTTTACATGCTGCCTTCATGCTGATATTCACGCAAGAAAGGGGGCAAGAAAGAGGCTTGTTGGTGACCCCCTGGTAGGAACAAGGAGCCCTTACTACTTCACAAACCCATCCTTCCTGAAGTCGCCAAAGCAGCAACCCCACATCACCCCACATCCACATCCGGGTCCCCACCGCGATGAGCGCGGCTTCCAAGACGAAGGCCACCGAAGACATCAGCAGCGCCCGCTTCCGGCCCTGACGGTCCGACCAGGAGGCCAGCAGCGGAGCCGCGGTGAATTCTGAGAAGCTCCGGAGGGCCGTGATAAGGCCTCAATGTTCTAGGCCCATTCTAGGCATTTCTTGGTACTCCCCCACCATCAGCCAGGCCCAGGTCAGCAAACTTCTAGCATCAATTTGGGAAATGCCGCACAGCAGCATGATGGCATTGCTCGACAACTTCAGCCAATTTCCTTCATGCCACAAAAACAAGCCGAGAGATAAGCCATCGACCCAACGCATTGGCGACAGCCGCGGAGTCGTAGCCTGCCGCCTTGCCCAGCGCAGAAACCTCAAGACTCTTCTTTCGGCGTCCAGGTGTCTCTCCATGGTCCATGTTCATAGTGACGGTGTTCATCAAGTAGCAGCAGCAGAAGTAGCAGCAGCAGCAGCAGTGGTAGCTTTGTTGTAGTTAGTGGTGGTCAAGCCCAGCAAAAGAAGCCTTGCACATAGCATTCAGGTCGGTGGAATCTTGTTGCTAAAATTCTTGTCATCTCTGACAGGATGGGTAGTTTGCTTGGACCGTATTATGTTCATCACCAAGCAGCCCGCAAGTTGAAGGCTGGGATCATAGCGATGGCTACTGCTGTCCTGACATGGGCAACAGCTTCTTGTCAACAAGAAAGGACATGCCGAGGAAGCGACGTTCGAAGTAGGCTGACCTCAGGAGTCAGCAGTGTTGGCATGACCGTTGAAGTCTTGCAAAGGCAGCCAGGTTGCTGCATAGAGAGGTGTTAAGGAAGGTCCTTTCTTCCCAAGCAGCGGGGCCGCCAGATGGTCCTACATCGCCAAAGTGCAATGCCCTGCTCAAGCGCCAAGGCTACCAAGGAATGTTGCAGCTCTCCTTGCCATCCATGGCGCCCCAGTAACCCTTTGGGGTGAAAGTCTGAGCCAATGAGCTCCCCTGCAAAATTGTCCGTTTGGCCCTGTTGTCCCAACCCAAGACACATGAGGCGAAGAACATGCAAAGCCTTTTAAACCTGCACATCTGAAACAAGCTGAGGCCAGGCGGCCAGGGAGCTTTGCACGGTGCTTGAAACTGGAACGAAGGCAGGATCCAAAATTTGTACATAGGATCCAGCTATCGTCTGCTGCGTGCAAGCCTTGCCCTCTGTGCACATTAAGGTGAACCTCGCCACCAGAATTCATGCAACGGCCAGTCTTCACAAGGCCGCCCAAGACTGTCGTGCAACCTCTTGAACCTGAAGAGGTCCGTGTCGTCCAATATTGATCAACGGAAGACATCAACATTGCTGAAGAGCGCTTTAGGGAGCCGGTTGGCAAGTCTTGGCGAGTGACCCAAGTGGCTCAAGGAAGCCTTCCACCTCAAACTTCAGATCCCTCGCTGGGCATGGCTCTGGCATCCCCTTTCGTCAGGCAGCACCTCAGTGCCCTGCGAAGCGCCAAATTGGCGCCGAGCAGTTGGACGGGGCTCCATCTCAGGTGCAGACCCACCCAAACATGAGATATTGGCCAGCAGCAGCCCTACAAAGACTTGGGCCACGGCACCTCAAAATAAAGAGCACTGGTATTCATGCGCGCTCTATGATAAAGAGATGGAGCAAGAATGGAAGAACCAGTCAAGTTGCAATAGAAAGCTGAGCCCATACCACCAAACTCCTTCATCATGTGTGCTGTATCTGCAGATGCGCCCACGGCTAGTGCACCCAGCATGCAAGCAAAAGATGCCACGGACAAGAAAGATGTTGTCAGCTGACTCCTGACACACTGTCTGGCAATCACGGCATTTTGCAAACACCAGGTCAACCACGCACATGCCGTCCTGACTTTGTGATTACCCCTGCAGCAGCCGCCGGCAGCAAATAGGGCGCCAGTTGCAGCAAGAAGGGTCAAACTCATGAAAACCACTGAAGAGATCACCTCAATGATGATCCAACCTCTAAAGCTCTGCCAATTCTGGAGGACCAATCAACTCAGGCCGCGGCCAGTCCTCTGATTGCATGGAGCTTAGAGCACATCTCCTGCCAAAGCGGTTTACACGAATGTCAACTCTTCAGGGACCTGGAGCTGGCACCTCAGTGTCAAAGACTGGCGAATGCCCGGCACAGGTGCTCGAGTCCAAGCTCATGAAGGTCTGAGGAAGTCTGATTCCCAGTAGATCTGCTGAGGTGGTGAAGTCCCAGAGACTAAGACTTCCTGACGCTGCAATGGTTTGGGATTTTGCATCCATTTTCGACAAACCAAGGTGAACCTAGCGCCAGTGACTGCTAGTGCTTCACCATCTTCAGGCTCTCTGACTCTGTCTGACTCTGTCACAAGATCTCGCAGCCTCTCTCTCTCTCTCTCTTCCCACAATAGTGTAAACATCTCCCAGCCTCGGCCCTGAATCGCTCCTCCAAACAAATCCGGATTGATCTTCCCATGCCACCAAACACCAACCAGGGCAACCTCAGCTTTACTTTTGAAATTAGATCCAACTAAACTAAACTGCTGCATCTTGAATCAAATTCCACGATCCAATTTGCCCCGCATGTTTGAGGTGAAAATGGGTGAAGCATGCACCAAGGTGCCAGGGACAGGACCAGACCGGAGGAAGCGAGGAGGAGGACCAAGTACGCCACAGTGAGGGATGGCTGCGAAGCTTTCATCGTGGCAGGCCAGAAACTCCTCCCTAAAAGAGCTTGATCTCGGCAGAGGGTTTCAAGCAAAAATTAGAAGATCAGTGATGAGAGGCAATCCCAATCAGAGGTTCCAACATGTCTTCAGCCGCGCAGCATCACCGCACTTCTTTTTGGTCAAAGACATGCGGGCCATTCTTTCTTTCTGGTCGCTTGGCACTGGACTGTCCGATCGCACCGCACTTTGGCTCTTTGGCCGCTGGAAGCTTCGATTTCACGCATTCGCCCACTTGGCTTCAAACATCTGCTGGTTCCACCTCTGGAAGATGTTCTGTGTGCATTGTGTGCGTGCATGGGAAGGGATGAAAAGGAGTGGACAAGACTGGGTTCCTCTTGACTTTCACGGTACACAACGCCAGCCTCGCTGGAGGGCGGCTCGCCAGACTCCTGCATAATTAATCCATTCAAACGGCTGGATAGTTATCTGAGCTGCTTCAATAGCAGCACCACAGTCCTCAGGTGAAGAAGATCCATTCACTGCAGGCCTGGAAATTGATATCACATGTGGAGGCGACAGGGCCTATCTCGGATTCTCATCAGCGGCTGCATTCTCAGCCCGAAAAAACTTTTCTCTGGTCTTGGAGTCGTGCTCCAATCCTGCTAGCATGAATGGGCAGGTCATTGCAGCCCATCTTGCGCATGGCAGTCTGTGGGGCAAGTGAAACTAAAGCCAAATCTTCTGTCCATCTAATCATAGTCTAATCATCCATGCTCGTTGCTCCTACTCTGAAGCCTACCTGAAGCACTCTGCACGCTGCCCAACTCCCTCACTTCTCTTGCTTCTCGGATGGGCCCTGTCCATGAACTTTGAATGGCAAAAGGATGTCAATCCAAAACCGGTCCCGACAGCTTCGCCCGTATTTTGCGCGACTGCAATGCGCTAGGAGCTGGGTGAACTGTACAACAGCTGAGAGACGAGCTGTCCAGCTTCAATGCAATCTTCTGGGATCAAAACGTGTATTGTCTTTTGTGATATAGGTCAACCGGTTAACAATGCCAATCCTTTCAAAATCGTTCATGCAATAAGTCCAAGTGTGGTTTTTGACCCACCACATCCCACCTCAATCTGCCCTGGCCGCTCTTCTCTGGGAGGCGGCTCTGGTCGTCGCCTCCTGAAGTTCTCGAGGTGGTGGGAGATCGAAAACGATGGGTGGCCTTGTGGGATTGTACTCGGATGTGCACGTGGAGGCGTTCACGAACAGTGTCACCTCATCTGCAGACGTGCCATAGCTCTCATGGAGATGCCCAGTGACCACCACAGACACGCGACGGTCCTGGATCGCAGCCAGCAAGTCCTCACAACCTACCCGGGTGTCACGAGAGGTCCGATCCACATGTCCCGCAGGTGGGCCGTGGACCAATAAAATGTCAGTATCTTCTGGGATTGCACCCCAGCACCTTCGTAGTTCCTCACCACGCGGAAGGTTAAAGGCCCAGTCGCAGAATTCGGGTTGCCAAGGCGATCCGTAGACCTGGTACCCACGCACTTCCTTGGACGCATCCTCCAAGTATATGCAGCCTTTCAGCAAAGCCTTGGCCTTCGTACAGTCATAGGATTTATGTGGGTGAAAACGTTTTGCCCCACGGCCCTTGTAGTACTCCTCGTGGAGGGTGATGTCGTGATTTCCAGCAATCACGACTTTGTGCTCTGCCGGGTAGGTTTCGAGCCATTCGTTGAAGGATTCGATTTGCTCTAGTTCACCAGTGTTTGTGAAGTCACCTGTCCAAGGTCCACGCGAGTGCACTTTTCAGCTGGAGTACATTTTTCCGGGCATTGAGAAAACAGTGCACAGTAGTTACTCTTGCATGCAAACTTCTTTGAGTACAGCACGGTGTGATCTCTCCGCCTGCCTGCATGCAACAAAACATCTCCTGCTGGCATGTGCTTCTTTGGGATCAATGCGTGCAGGCCATGAGTGTCGCCTCAGTCAGAATCAGCTGCCCTAAATGGTTTGTCTCAAGCACCTGGCTGGGAAGTTCTGTCATTCCGCACCACGACTTCAAACAACTTGAGCAAAACCACGTTTAAAAGAAAGACCAAACAAACACCCCTGCAATGCATCTGCAATGCATCCGCATGTATCTCCCAGCCCCTTGAGAGTGTCATGGTCACCTATGGTCACCTATGCTCAACTATGGTCACCCAGAGCCTGAGCCAAAACAGCCAGGTGGCTAAAGCATACAAAGCGTGTCCAGCCCTCAGGACACTTCGCAGTCCACGGCTCTGGAACCAGGTGAGCTCCAGCAGGACACCAGCTCTGAACGAGGTCTTCTACACGCTGCAGATCCTGCGTCAGCCACTTCAAATCTCTTCCAACAAATGTATCCACTCCAGTCCACATGAGGTTTGTGAGAAAGCATTTTATCTGCGAGACATAGGAGGTAGGGACTTGCCCTTGGATCCCCTCATTGGTTTACAATGCTCAGTAGATGATAGATGATGGCACACTGGCACAACAGCAAGTCAAACAAAGGCCTCACGCCGCCTCTCCATACGAGCACCATGATCATGTCATCTGAGGCACTATGAGGAACGTTCTTTTGGTTAAGGTTCTCTGCCTATTCCTCTCCAACCGACATCGACAACTCTTTAATCGAAAAGCATCCCTTCTCCAAAAAGACCCAGAAGCAGGAGGAGAAGTAGTTGGCATTAGTAGCATCAAGAGTCATCTTCGCCGCAGCAGCAGAAGCAGCAGCAGCAGCAGCCAACATCCATCCCAATGCTTGTGGACGGATCTCACATGCCCCATTCATGTCCTCTGTGCGAAAATCTCCCTCCATGCCGTCGTCATCAAACTCAACATTCCTTGGCGCTGCAGTCCAAGCTACAAGCTTTGGAAGACAAAAGCGGATAAAGAAACACACAATGGAACTGGTCAAACCAATGGAACTTTGACCATTATATATTAAGGTGATTTCTTCATCAAACAAGTCTAGCCTCCAAGTCCCATCCTCATTGTCAAGAGCCACCAGGCCACGCCCCTTACCCTTCACAAAAACCGCTGTTCCGATCTCCATGGCGCTATTGGCTAGAAGCATCCAAAAGTCATCAAAAGCCAAAGGGCAAAAACAGCCAGACCTGGAAATGCCCCACACTAGCAACCCAAACACCTCGTGAGACATGTTCCTCCGGTTTCGCACCATGCACTTGGCAGCCTCAATGGCCTTGCTGGCCCTCCTGCTAAAGTATACCCCTGGACCGTGACTCAAGCCTTTTGCCTCAGCACTTTGGCTTCACTCCGTATGCTGCACAACATTTCAGGAACAGCATAAACTGTAACATGGAGACCATGGTGTGAGAAGGCTGTGGCAGTCCGCGGTCACGTCATCTCCGCGCAGCGTCCATGAACATGCCCCACCACCAGCATAATCTAGTCCTTGTATAGCTGGTCACGAACCTGTATCACTCGCAAACCCTGCTCTTCCCAGCGGTCAGGACTGTCTGTGGGCGACTCGAAGATTCGGATGTCTTCATCGATGTATAGGACCCTGACCAGCCCAGGGCCGGAGATGGCTGTTGACAACAACGGCACTCCCAGAATCACCAAACCACCCTGCTCAATCTTCACGTCAAATTCCTTTGGACACTGGCCGGCATCATCCACTGGGGTGAAGCTACCCTCAGCCACAAAATGCAGTCCAGCACCGAGGATCTCCCCATAGTTAGTGACTCGGCCCTTGCCAGCATCATAGGCTTGGCCCACTTTGTTTTGCACCAGTGGTCTCAGAAGCCGCGCGTTTTCCTCCCATTTCGGGGTCTTCCCCTGGATGAACACCGACCGCCAAAGCCCATCACTCGGAGAGCTGCTGAATCCTAAGAGTTCTGCGGGACAAGCCACCCGCGCCTCTGCCAGGCGATCGATTCCCTGCTCCACCATCTGTCGAGCATCAGCTTCCAAGGGGTCACCCTTTGCCGCCAGGAGGAGATCACGAATCTCTGCCGCCAGCGTTGCAGTTCCCCATTCCCAAGGCCAAGCCCATGCAGATCTCTGTGTCTCCTTGCAGGGCCTTCGAAGTTTTCGGGTGACTGTAGCGCCTATAGCACACAAACCTGCACTAATCATAGGGAGAACATGACGACCCTCCGCCAAGCAATGTGCAACACGGCGCCTCGCACCCTTCACACTCTGATGCAATGAAGCTTTTGCGGTCACCTGGATTGACGTGGAAGGCGCATAAGTCAAAAGAGGGTATGTAGCCATGGCAAGCTTATGGTCCTATGGACTGCATATATAATGTCATTAGTTCTACTTAGAGGCTTGAACCAGAGTGCGACGTCATGAGTGCCTCAATTGATTGTGTGCAGTAGACAAGTCAGAAGCCTGCTCAAGTGCCCAAATGCCAAACCACACAAAAATCCCCGCCTGTGGCACTGAACTCGACAATGGCTTATTCTCCAACCTCCAAGAGGCCTTTCGGAGCTTCCCCTCAGTCTTCAGGACTCTGGCCTTTCTATTCGTAAATGCTCACCCTTTGGTGCTGTGCTTTATAGTCGACTCCAAGCCGCCAAGGCTTGGATGGAGCTGCCAGTCAGCATACCTTAGTCCACTATCCCATCACACCAGCATGATGTTGGCGGCCTGAGGATCTAGCACAGCCCAAGTAGACCATAGCTCATCCTGCTGCTTCTTGTCCAGGTTCTGCCGGATCACAAGGAAGACACAAATAGCAAGCCCATAGAGGCTCTGCATAAGCAAGAGCTGCAAGGGCCTCAGGCCCAAAGGGGAGCTGGGTGTTTTCACATTCACATGAAATGCTGAAATGCTGGCATGACATCAACAGCGGCAAAGAACGGAACCTTTTGCAGCAAAGATACAACTGGCTGAGGATACCTAAGCAGGGCAAACCAGTCTACCACACCAGCCCCCAACGCTGCACTCAATGACCCTTCGCACCGAGCCACGATCAGCCGCTGGCAGGTGCATGAGGGCACCGTAGAGCGCAACAGAGCCCCCGATGACATGCCAAAGGCTATGCCGCCAAACCCATATCTCGAACGATTGAGATTGTCCCGACCAAGCCTAGCAGGCTCGAGACAGAGTTGTGTGATCCATTTTTGGTTGGCAGATTCTTGGAATCCAGTATTCATCGCACCCTACAGCCAAAGGTGGGCTGGGCAAGCTACCTGTTGCTGCCCTTGTCCACTAGGAACTGAACCCGAAGAAAAAGCATAACAAAAGCATTCCCAAACCCCATCCTTTTAAAACAGGGGTGGCACGTCACAAGCCGCTGTAGTCTTTCCAACACTTTTGGTGAACCCAGAATCAGCGATCCCGCAAACATCTATACAATGGATTGCTCACTGAGCTCCAAGAAACAAAGGCCGCCAGGGCAATGACAACCAGCATCATGGTTTCCCAGAACGTTGCCCTCAAATAGTAATCAAACATCGAGAGAAAGAATGTCGCCGATGCAAAGGCAATGTCGACTCTTCCTCAAGCTTGCTGAGACAGGGTAGCCAAGGCCAGGCTTTGGAACAGTGCTAACACAAACCACAACAAGAGATATATAATGCAATGTAATATAGTATAAAAAAATATATAGGTTGTCTAACAATTTTGATTACGAACGGATGCATGAAACAGCCGAAAGAAACTCCTTTCTTGCAATATCTCAGCTAAGGCTAAGGCTCCGTAGAGAGACCTTTGCTCCCTCTTAATAAACAAAAAGTCGGCCAAGTAAGATGTTATGACCACCAAGGTATACATGCAGCCAAGCAGTGGGTATAGGATCATCTGGATCAAAATGCCAGGCTCCTGTGCAGAATTGCCAAAGAGAACCGAACCTTGTCCTCTGACATCCTGAGTGCCTCACCTGTATCTCCACGCGCACCAGGCACAAGAAGACTGCCCAAAAAGCGGCCGCGCTGGGTGCGAAGGCAAAGCAGCTGAGCCCCACAGCTACATGGCTATCCCAGACCCGGCAGGACTTTGATTTCAAGCCCAGCTCTTCAAATAAGGTTCGGCGCATGGCTTGTTGAGATCCGACCTTGAACCAAAGGATGTACACATAGCTCCGATACTATCCACCGGAATCTACCACCATTTGCAGTAATCTGAGATGGCCCCTGGACTTCGACATCTGGACATTATGCATTTGCTGCAAGTTCTGTGTGTTGCACTACTAGCCTGGCCTGAGCTCAGGAGGCAAGCGTGTGCCTCAAAAATGCACAGGATCTTAGTGAACCTCAACCTCCAGTTCGTCTCACAAGTGACAAGTGCCAGGCTCTCTGGCGCACTGCTTGGCCTCAAGCCCCACAACAGGGCAGAGCTGGACCTCCTTTGGAAAACCAATCTGGCATTGTCACGCTCCCGACGTCTCAATGATATGCATCCAGTGCAAGAATCTGCTTTCTTCTGGCGATCACCCATTTACAAGTGCTATAAATGGCCCTGGTCCCGCAGCAGGAGCCTTCGAAGTACCGGAATGCAGCCAAGCTGAGTCTTTGTTTGGTGTCTGTCCCATATGAGTTCTCCCTCTCCCCCCATGCTGCCCAGCTGCGCCAACAAAGAGCTGATGGACTCATCCAGAAGTTTCAGTGCCTTGGCCCTGCGCGCATCGTACTCCTGGTGCACGGGACAACCGTGTCTACACGTTCCAATGGAACAACCTGTCGCGAATCTGGTGCGCCAACTGAAGGATCCAAGGGTTGGTCCAAAGGCTGGCCCAGATCTACACCATTGTGGCTAGGTTTGGGCTCACCACTGCGTGTACTGTGTGTGCTTGCTGTCCCTGCAGCGGTGTCCCAACCACACCAACGAAAGCACCTGGCCTTGGAACCTGGAGCACCTGGCACCGGTTCTCCAGATGGCCTTGGCCCATCCAGTTGGGTCGGGCAACCCGAACAAACAAAGCAGGTCAAGGGTGACAAGGTTGACCCCATAAACACACTCCATTCACCCTACTCCACCCGATGCATTATGTATAATTCTATGTGTATATATATATATGTATACATGCATCCGCTTCACTATCAGGTCAGTAAACCACATTGAAGATCACAGGGCGCACGAAACCAAAAGCCAGCGGTTCATGAAACCCCGAAACCTTGACATGCCTTGTTCCAGCCTGTTTTGACTTTTTGACTTGTTGGGACTCCTTGATGCCAATGGGCACCAACACAATCAAATGAACCTACCAACCGTCAAGGTGATTCCAATGTTTGCACTATATCATAGTGACATAGTGCTGCTTGAGTTTTAGACATTTGAACAACCTGACGTCTTACATCCGTTCTTCAACCTTCAACCTGACAGGGTGGCACACACACTTATTGACATACTCAAGATAAAGCGTGCTGACATGATTGCGGTTTGCCACACGCCAACCTAAGTGAAAAACCAGCAGGCGTTCAGGAGGTTGGGAACTTCTGAAGTGAATCAACTGCGAAGTGGCGAATGTGAACCAAATGCATCTACAAGCCGTGCTGTGGAAGGGAGGGAAGGAAAACAGGGTGAGCTCTTTTTAAAACCAACCGAAAGCAAGTAAGATACCCGTGCGTACTCACGGCTGACCTGGGGTCCTAGAAAAGGAAAATCCGATTCGCGAGATTTATGAAGTCCTGTAGTCGAGGCTCATGTTTCACAATTTAGGTTCTATAAAATCCTGTCGTAGGAACATTGAACTCCCCAGGGAAACATCCTAGATCTTGGTGGGATTCCTTCCCACGTCCTCCCCGGGACATCCCGGGACTGGGACACCATTGATTTATGAATTCCTGGCGCCAACAAAAACACTGAAAAATCCACACAGAAAAAACAATAACAGCTGTCTGCTCCATCCCTTGCAATCCATCTTGTTGGCTGCCACACAAGTCCACCGAATGCATTATAGAAGAGTGGTTAGGCATGCTGAGGGGGAAGTATGCCTCCAGTCACATGACTTGCAGAGACTACCTTCGCAGCAGCTCGCAGAAGCAGAAGTGGTTCCTTCACAAAGTTCGGGGGCCTACGTTTGCGTTATATAAATGTGTTTAAGATCTCTTCAACCTGGCGCTTTGTTTATACAATGCTGTGGCCGGGCTTGCAGCACAAGAATTTTGGAATTGAGTGATAGATGTGAAAGACATTGGATCGTTTTGCTTTTTCTTGGACTATCATGTTCTGAAAGATCTAAGTTGGAGTGTTTTCAGGGGTTGCTGCAGGCAACCTCTCACGGAGGTTTGGATTTGGATTTGAAAACATTAGTCCGTGATTTCAGTGACTTCAGCTCAAGTCATCATTATTGGTGTGAGTGTAGGTTCATGGCGATGATTCTGCGCCTTTTTATCGCTGCAGCAGTAGCAGCTTGGCGTGTTGAGGCTGTGCAAGATACCAGAACAAACGCGAATGAGCGCATGTGGTACGAGGCCAAGTTGCACTTGCGCTACTGGATGAGGTAGGCAAAGGAATTTCAGGGTCCTCAAGACCTGCGTGCCCTGGCGCAAGCGGGAGGATCAAGGCCACATGGCTTGATCGTGGTTTTGATGGTGAGTCCTACAACATTTTGCAGGACCCCTCTCATGACCTGGCGGCGAAAGAAGGCTTCGTCAACCTTTTGTTGCTGGGTTTGCGCTTGACAGAACGTGCCATAGTGGTGGCTGGCCCGCCACGTTCATGCTTTGTTTTTCTGAGCAGCAGCTCACAAGGATGGACCTACAGGAGCTTGGTGGAAACCTGGAGTGAGGCTATCGAATTTGATACCCAATAGACCGGCTTAGTTAAAAATATAGACAATTCCTAAACATTTAACTACAACGTAGAATTCCTAGAAAATAGTTAAGTTAAAAATGTTTTCGAAAATAGTTAAATATAACATTTAACTAGTTTCTAAAAATAAAACGAAAATATGATTTAACTATTTTCTGTAAATTTAACCATTTTCTGCAAATTTAGCTAAATCAGATTTAACTATGTTCCGTAAATTTAGCTATTTTCTGTAAATTTAGATATGGAAACTTCGAACAAACTTCGAATTGCCGTCGGTCAAACTTCGAAGCGATATGATTGGAAATTGAAGGTTTTGTGAGCTCCATGTTTACACAACTTTTGTGAACCTATGTGCAGGGTTGCAGGGCGCTGTCTTGGCTTTGGACACACAGAGTTGCAAGAATGTACAAAAGGTGACATAAAGATCAACAGTATATATGTGAAAACAACACCGTCTAACCACAACCTTTCATATACAGCCATTTTGTTTGTTCATTCAATCAATCAATCATTCACTCATTCATTCACTCATTCACTCATTCATTCACTCATTCATTCACTCATTCATTCATTCTTTCATTCATTCATTCAGACAAACCTTTGAGTGAAACAACCTTGTGAGAGGAAACCTTGAGAGTTTCATTTCATTCATCCCCTCTCTCTCTCTCTGTTAGTCTTTCTTTCTTTGTTTCTTTCGGTCTTTCTCTCTCTCTGTCTTTCGTACTGTTTGTCTTTATTCTAGTCTTTCTTTTCTCTGCCTCTTTCCTTTCTCTCTCACTCTCTCTCTCTCACTCGGTTTCACAGAAGGTGCGTGGAAAAACGTCTGGCCTGGATGTTGTTTTGAAAAAAGAGGCCAAGCATGACTGAGCGGGACATCGCCTCTTGTTCGTCCCTGGCGTACCTCTGTTGATAGACTCTGCACGCCTCCGTGAAGAGCTTGGCCCTCCGTGAAGAGCTTGGCCCAGTGTTCATCGTGCATACTCCACTGTCAGACTTATTGAACAACTGGTTGATGACGTTGGTGCGAAAATCTCTGGGAGAAGGACTCTGCTTCGCGGTCTCGTCGTATAGGTGGAGTATATGCTGGGGGGTCTGCCCAGCTGCACGCATCCGAGCGAATCTTTCACCTTTCCCTTTGTCGCGCTTGCTCAAAACCATTGCGCCAGCTTCATGCTCCTCATCCTCAGGAGAAGCCGTGGCCCTCTTGAGCTTGCGCAGGGTTTCATTCACACTCGGCATCGCTGCCGGCTTCTTCTTCACCTGTGTGGTGTCATCCACATTGGCCGCGGGGCGCTTGGAAGCGGCTGGCAGTGTCCAAGGTCGAGACACACACACACACAAAGTTATCGATCACGATCGTTCGTTCACTCTCTCAAACCAAGAAAGCTGTGAGCAACAAAGGTTTGACTTCAAGGTTCAAGGACACCAACAAAAGGTTTCAAGATTGTCGTCAGGTTCCAACAAAACATTTCAAGGTCGTTGTCCGATCACAACATAGAGTTTTAATGTTGCCAAAGTACTGATTCGAAGTTTGTTCGAAAGTTCTTCGAAACTTCGAATCGAGCATTCGAAGTTTCAATCGAAGTTTATTCGAAGTTTATAAGTATGTATATGTTGAAAACAATGGTATTTACAGTGTTTTTGATACACTTCAAATAAACTTCGAACAAAACTTCGAATAGATATTGAACAAACTTCGAATGAACTTCGAACAAACTTCGAAGGAGTCCACTTCGAAGTTTCGAAGAACTTTCGAACAAACTTCGAATCAGTCGTTTTCCAGGCTTGAAAAAACTCATGAACAAATCATCTAGGAGTAGGGTCGGACCAACAAACTCCCTCAATGTCTCTCAAGGTTCTCGCAAGATCTCTCAAGAGTCTCTCAAGCTTTTCTCAAGACTGTCTCAAAACAAAAGGGTTTCACAGCGTCACACATCTTCATGGTAAAGGTACAGGGCTGCTGCGCAACTCATTTGTTTTTCAACACCGCGCAGGGTCTAAGTTGGCTGGAGTCTAAAAAACCATAGAGCTACAGCGCTACGATCCTAAAGCACAGTGCTCCGCCAAAGTTTTTCTCCTTGGCCTGGTTCTTCGATCGAACTTGTAGTTCTCACTGTCCATCACGTGGGACTTGGCGTCTTTTGCGTCCAGCCTTGACCTTACTCTTTGGCTTGGGCTTCGCCGTAGGACCAGCGTCAATGTCCATGGAGCAGACAAGTTGATAGCATCCTGAGTCTGGGAGTCCGCCTTTCTGTAATACCCTTTTGCGTGGGGATCTTTGGCCAAATATCGATGCTGTTTCATAGCTGTTCTCACAATGTTGTCAACCAGCTCGACATAGTCTGAAGTACTTTGTTTCGAGAAGTTGCACTTCATTTGTTGGTCCAACCTTTCAATAGCAATCTTGTTCTTCTTGGGTGGCAGCACGCTGTTCGGTGCAATCTTTGCATAACGTTGAAATAGTGGTGCATGCGCTGACAAGAAGGTGATACCTGACAAGGAGGTGGTCCATGAAAAAGTTAGTGACACGTGGAGCAGCTTGATGAAATTCCTATCACCCTCCTCCTCCATGTACTTTGACAAGGGTTGCATCAAGTCTGTCACTCCTATGCTAGGGTCAGCGGATAGGCGGAAGCGAGGTTGCTTCAGCATGGCCATTTTGACGACTGAAGAGTCAACAGCACAAACAACTCAGTAACCACAGTATAGTACCAAGGTTCTTCACTGAAAACTATTTAACTGCATAGCAAGGTCTCCTTCAAAATGCCTGCAACTGCATGTGCTTGAGTCAAGAGGCCCAGGACATGGGAAAGTCGCATATGTGTTTGGACGCTGTATATGCATTGAAGAATTGAAGAATGACATGAATGAATGTGAACTTCAACCAGGCTTCAACGACATAGGTTGCATACACAATCTCACCAGTGCAAACAATAACTAAGGAAAAATTGGCTCTCAAGGTTCTCTCACAATGTCTTCTCTCAGGGCTCTTGCTCTCACTAGGTCCTCTCTGAATGTCCCTCACTCTCACAAGGTTCCCTCACAAGGTCCTCTCTCAAGGTTGTTTTCTTCTCCCTCTCTCAAAACAAACAACGACTACAAGTTCTCTCCTGCACAGACTGCGTTTTTGTACAAGTTCAAAAGTGTCTCCAAACAGGTGAAAGAAAAATATATGATGTCAATCTCCAAGCACGAATTGTCGTGGCTTATGTGTGTCAAGAGGGTTGTTTAATGTTTGTGTCTCGCAATGCTCGTTTGGAACCAAAAATGCATAGCTGAGAGCAGTCGAAGTGTTGATAAGTAACCTTCGAATAAACTTCGAAGTGCACCCTTCGAAGTTTCAGGTAAACTTCGAAGTGCACCCTTCGAAGTTCATTCGAAACTTCTTCGAAGTTTGGTCGAAATTTAGTTAAATTTACTAAGTTTAGATAAATCCTAGTGTTTTAACTAAGCCGGTCTATTGGGTAGTACACAACTTTGTGCCTCGATTCGGAGGGGACAGACAGCATTTCATAAATATAGAAAATCTCACTTCCCAGGAAATGCTATTTTTTCTGGTCGCTCACACTTTTCCAGGTGAATGAACAAGGTCGCAAAAGATTCTAAAGGGTCAAGGTGATACAGGATTCTATGAGAAAAAGGTGTTGAAGGTTTGTTGCTGTAGCCAGGCTAACGATCATTCTTACTGTGCGCAGTGGCATGCAAGTTGTCATCGAACAGCCGCAGGGCAGCTGGATGTTCCGTTTGCAGCGCGCGCGTCGCCTGAAGAAGGTCTTCGGCTTGAAGCAGATCTACAGCACATGAAAAAAATGTAATGTGCATGTAAATATGTGGTTTCGCTAGTCCCGTTATGGTGTGACCACGGGAAATGGAAAATGGATAGTCCTCGGGTAATCACCAAAATGCGGTTTGCCATAAGAACAACAAGTGTAACCGTGAGGATCACGCTATGGAGAAACTAACGCGGCTCCTCACCAATCTCAAATCTGGACAAGATCTTTCCAGGAGGATTACAAAAAAACTCAGAGCTGAAATCAAAAAAGGACAGGAGTTGAGTTCTACAAGGTCAAGAATGGCAAGGTTTGTGGGACGAAGCATTTGTATTTGTCTCGTTTTGTCGCGCCGTATTTGCAGTGTGGGCCAGGTTCTGGCTCACAATGCAGGACTGAAAGTCCCGTGTAGTGTTCCTTGCCTGTTGGTGACATTGGTGACAGTTCGGTCATCTTACTTTGAGGCATTTTGCCTTAGCCGGGCAAAACTTTGCTGGCACGAACCAAATGCATTGTGTGGGGAAAGGATCCAATGGTTTCACCTTCATGTTGTGGAGTTTTGAGACAAACATGACAAACCGTATAATGTATACTATGATCAGGATTTCATAAACACATATCTAGAGATTCTATAGGCAAGGATGTTCAAGGACAGCGTTGTGCGCCTGTTTGGCGGGGTCAGGATTTTATAGCAAGAAAACAAGAGGGGGAGAGAGAGAGAGAGAAGGAAAAAAAGAAACAACTTGCGTTGAACCAGATGCAAGGACAGAGTTGTAAAAATTGTGTTTTTTTGCCGGGTCAGGATTTTATAGCTTTGCGCAAGTTCACCGAATGCAAGGGATGGAACAGACACAAATAAACAAAGAACAAACAACCTCAGGATATGTTTCAACTGTCGAGGGAATTTATAGAATCCTAAAACCGGGCATGGTTCAAAGGAACCTCCAGGTATTGTGTTTATAATAGAATCCTGAAACCCAGGTAGTTCACCAGTGGACCCACCACTAGGAATGTATTTAAAAAATTCATGCTTTTATAAAATCCTGATTGGTGGAATATTGATGGAATGTGAAGAACTTATGAAATCGTGCATCCAAGGCTCATGTGCCATGGTAGGGGGGCCTTATCTTTTTATATATAAAGGACGTCCAGGTATAGGAAAAAATATAGGGTTCCAGACGGGCACAAGTAAGTGTGATACAGGGTCAAATCGGAGCCCGAGTAGGCGGTCGAGATCGAGAACGTGGACGAGTCGAAGAGGCTCCGGACCGGGCAAGGGACGTCGGCAAAGAAGAGCCCAAAGGTGAAGTCGAGGGAGCTGTGCGCATAGATGATCCGGCCGAAGGAAGAGAGGTACTCGTCGGCGGCAAGCGTGGATCAGGGAACTGGGCTTGACCTCGGAGTTCGGCCCCAAGGTTGTTCAGGTCCAGGAGTAAGAATGAAAGAGTCCTGCGTTGTAGTAGGGTCCGGTGTTGACAGCTTGAGCTGATCGACGGAGAGCTGCATCTAGGCCGCGGAGTTGGGTCAAGATGTGAGGAGAAAAGAGCCGGTCAAGAAAGACAGGAGACCGATGGCGAAGCGAAAACGAAGGAGGGCGAGCGTCATTTCCAAGATTCCATGTACGTGAAGAAGTTCTCGATGTAGTATAGCCTGAGCAATCCGAAGAATTCCTTCAACAGGAGAGAGGCCGGCGGGAGAGGGCGACATGGCTCCAGCAGCAAGGCTCCAACAGATCCCAGTGGACCTTGAAAAGCTTTGGTCGCTGCCACCACGTTCGGCATAAGCCTACTCAAGACCGCTATGGTCACCTAACTCGAAAGCTGCCTGCTCAAATTCAATGTTTCATCAAGTCTTGGCAAGTAACTTTGGCTTAAGCCTCCTGCTGTCCGCTACCAAACAAACCAAACATGGACGAACCCTTGCTTAGTATGGCCACAGGGGACGCTCCTCAGGTGCACCCTGGGGTGGCATGAAGCCAGACACGCTCAAGATAAAGCGTACTGTAATGATTGCGGTTTGCCACACGCCAACCTAAGTGAAAAACCTAAGGGCCCAGGCGAAGTGAGCAAACTCCGGAAGGCGCGGACGACAAAGTGACGGCGAGCGCTCAAGTCTGCAGAACTCATTAGCACTTTACAACACCTGGTGAACCTAAAAGCAGCCTGAGCGAGAGAGGACCATTGGAGAGCAGGAACGTCGGAGCGATCAGCTCCGATATCCTCCCAATTCATGAGCAGCTTCGCTGGCAGTAGACTCATGAGCGGGCTACTGCCCCAGAAAGAAATCAAATTTGAAGAAACAAAATCAACGGACTCCTGTGACTCCAAGGCGTTCACACACACACACCTCAAAATGTTCCGCAAGTATCAACACAGAACGTCCGCGCCAAAAGCCGCAGCTTGGGGACATATGGGGGTTGGATCTTTTGTGGCGAGTGGTTACGACACAAGTAGCAATGCAGCAAGAGCAAACAAGAGGCAAGCCAAGAAAGCAGCACATGGAAGCCAACAGAAAGAGAAAGAATCCGCAAGCACTATCAGACGCCACCAGAAGCGACAAAAAGCCACTGGAAGGCACCAAAAGCCAGCTGAAAGCTGCAAAAGCAAAGAAGAACAAAACTGTGCCAAAAGAATCGCTACTTCCCCATTGGATACCATTTCTCTATCTGATCAAGGTCACACCTCACCAAACTGAGAAGGAAAAGCGAAAACCCAAGCTAAGCCCACTGCGGAGGCGCAGGCCAGGGCAGCGATGAGCTGGCATTGGTTAGGCCTGAGAAGAAGGTTGGGGGGAAAGCAGGTATCTGGGCAGTTCTAAGCAAAATGCTCATCGCCCCAGCCATATTCCAAAGCCTTAGCCAAATCATGCTTTCCCACTAGCTTCTAGTGTTCAACAAAGGCCACCAGAAAAAGTGAGGTCCCAGCACTGCGCCGTCCTTTGTGTGGCTGGGGTCATACGTAACCGCCTCGCAGACAAATTCGCAACTTCTGGCGCAGGTCTGTATCAGAACCATGAATCCATGAGCCCCAGGGCCACAAAACCCTGGACCCTCCCATGCATCTGCCTCGGCCCGCTCTTCATCCTGCACCACCGAAGCACGACTACTCAGACTCCTAGTGAAACATGACATGCATCTTGCTGCAAAACCTTCGTCGGACATCTCAACGCCTCTGGCTGCCGGAGTTGCAATAGGCTTGGCGCCACCGAGGATGCCAAGTTGTGCGTCAGTGCCTCGGGTCACCCAGTCGTCCAACTGAACGGAAGCGGAGACATCCCAAGCCCCCTGCGCCCACAGCGCCCGCAATTGGCCGGAGGCCTTGTGGGAAAAGATTCGCCTCATCAGTCTCACGGCAAGCGGAAAGGAAGCACTCCATCATACACTTAACTTGATAAGCACTCCAAATGGCCACTGGCAAGAAACGCTAGGCATCCCAGCGAAGCTAAAGTCTGGCCTCAGTCAGGACTGAAAGTGAACCCTCCTCGGCTTAGGCCTGAGTTTCCTACACACACACATATATATATAATATACATAATTTGTATGCATCTTTCATCTGAGCCCTTTTCGAATGGTCGCCATAGGCTTTGGCATGCGAGAACCTCGGCTGAACTCCTGACCAAGCTGACTGGTAATACTGGTGGAGTACTCTGAGGACTGTACCACATCAAATATCGCAAATAGAACCAGGCCTGAGCACGACGTGAGTAATGGTGCATGGCATTGACGGTAGGTCACATCCAAGCTTATAACACCACATTATAGTGTCGTTCACTGAGCTCCTGTGGCGCCTGGCTGTAAAGAAAGCCAAGGGTGCAAAGGGCCACTCAGGAAACATCTGCGGCCCTAGAAGCCTTAGTGCACAAGGCTTAGCAAAGGAAGGGATGTGCAGGAGATGCCAGGGGACACCTCAGCGGCTAAGATAAAGACCCCAGAAGTATATAAATGATGGCCTGGCATTAGAGCCACTCCATGGATCTGGCCATGAACATGATCCAAGATTGACCATGTGGCCAAGTTGCAATGCAGAATGGCAGGTGCTGACCTCAGATGGACAGCAGAAACGGGGGTTCTAGGCAACGAGTTCACGCATGGCACTTCGAAGATCCTTTCAAGGCAAGTTGCACTGCAAGGCCCAAGGTTTTGGCACAAATGGCAACACCTGTGCATGTGATCATGCAAACCATGTCTGAGCTGAGCACATTAATGGGACGAATGCAAGTTGCAGGCCAAAGCATCAATGGACATCTCCCAACTCTTTTTGCTGAACCTCGCAGCCGTTTGGGCGTTTCAGCCACATTTTGCTGCACCACGTCCTCGAGTTCTGCTCTATTCGTCTCCTCCTTCGACCACATTTCTCTCACCTCCCTGCTCGGAGTCGAAGTCGCAGCGGAGCAGCTGCGCTTGGCGGTTGATAAGGATTACCCCGTGCGTTTCTGCCTCATCTCTTTTTCGTTGCATTGCAGTGCGGCCACTCCATCTTGCGTTGCATGAACGTACTCAGTTCAGCTGCACCTTGGTCCAAACCACTCGCCGGTGAGGCAAGTCTTCGAATGATGTATATACCGTGTGTATATATATATATACAGGATATATCCTGCCTAAGGGCTCTTGGCTCTTGGGAAGCTTGAACAACTACAATCGCGTTTGAATGCTCAGCGATGTCTTGCCAGATCATGCCCAGTCGCCCTGCACATCAATATCAAAGCACAACAGCCGCATGGAGTGCTTAGCAAACTCCGTGATCACACGCTCGTGGTGCCAAGCAACCCAACCCATGAGCTCCTACAGAACCAAGTCTGCAAGGAAAGCATCATGAAACATCTGTCAAATGACCGCCGTCCTCGTCCAGCTGACCACAACCTTTCGGGAGGCCTTGTCACAAGCAACATCCAAGCTTCGTGAGGTGACTTTGTAAGTCTAAACAGGACAATGCGCCTGGCAGGTCAGCTTTTACAAGCCGTTGCCGCATGTCATTGTGTGAGTCGACTGACTGCAACCAATCCTTGCTCCATATCGCCAAAACAATCTGCCACATGCACTCCATTTATGAGTCACAACACCAACTAGACTAGACTGTTGTTGAAAAAAAGTATCATGGGCAGGGCGCGTTCCGATTGCGAACATTGAGGATGAAGTATGCATCTGGATAGCAGTCTCTCAATTCCGTCAGGTATTGAACCTGAGGAAAGTAGGCTTGCACGGTTTCTTTTCTCTGGTCGGCCCAGTAGCATCCATTCATCTCCGCAACAGCATCCACCTGGCCAGAACTGGAGTGGAAGGGCGGCCAATTCGCGCCCAAAGGAAAACAATGGAAAACATCTGCACGCTTGAAAACGGTGAGTGATTCCGTTTCAATTGACTCCCACCTCTCCCAAGAGCTCAAAAGGAGGCAAACCACGTAGCATTGCTTGGGACACGAGACATCCCACTAGCCGAGTCTCGGCATCCTCACCGCGGAGGCGCAGCTGCTTGTCCTTCTGCAGGTTCTTCCCAGCGTCCAGCGCCCAGTGCACAGACCGGAGACCCGCCCTCAGAAAGGACTCGTGGAGCGAGGAGGTGCCACACTTGGGCATGCCCAACACCACCACTTGCACCGGCCGGACCCCGGTCAATGGCATACTCGGCAGGACGGACTCGCTACTGGCCTGAAAGAGGGTCAGCTGATCACGCACAGCTGAAGAACTGACTTGTGACTTGAGGATACTGGAAGGACCTCCAGCGGCATTGTCACTAGTTATATACATGCACAAAGCATGTTCTATCAAAAATTTGAGGCCTCTTCATCCACCTCTTCTGTAGGAGTCGCCGAGGTAGGTGCAGTTTTCGAATCGCTCCCCTGTAGTTTCCCGTCATCCTCCCACCGAGTCTCACTAGGCTCATCATTCCCATCTTCCACTCGCCTGTCTTCCCATGGGTTTTCCCATAGCTTTCCTCGCCATCCCTCGTCTTCTCCTGCCTTGTCTTCCAAGCGCATGTCCTGCCATTCACCTTCCCATGGCTTGTCTTCCCATCGGCTTTCCCATGGCTTGCCTTGCCACCCGTTGTCTTCCCATGTGCTATCTTCCCAGCGCTTGCCCTGACATTTCTTGTCTTC